CTCCTCTGTGAGGGCAGATCTGCACATCCCCCCCCCAATAGCTAGCAATCCAAAACAGTCCAGTGGAGCCTGAGCGGTGGGTGTTGCCTTCTGACACACTTCCGGTGATGTCAGGGGTATGTGGCATATGCAAATAAGTTATGCTAATGAGTTATGCTAATGAGTACCTGCACCTCTTTTCCTAAGAAATAACCCCTGCCAGCCCTAATACATAACACAGGGCTTTTGATACCGTTGGTCTGAAGACATTTCGGTGCTAATGATCTATCGTCATGGGCGGCCCTGCCATGATCTCCGTGTTACCCTACAACACAGCAACCCTCTTAAGGCACGCCAGAGAAGAAACATATGGGCGCTGCTTTAAGGCCGATTATAGCACCTCATACTGCGAGTTCTGCTGGGACTCCTTTGATGCGGACTTGGTGTAAGGCAGGGTACAGACGTCACGGCATCCTGGCTGACGTCATCTCAGAAAACCGGGATGGGTGATGCTTTAAGGCCGATTATAGCACCTCATACTGCGAGTTCTGCTGGGACTCCTTTGATGCGGACTTGGTGTAAGGCAGGGTACAGACGTCACGGCATCCTGGCTGACGTCATCTCAGAACACCGGGATGGGTGACGTCACGTCGCCTCATTCCCCCCCCAGACCAGGCTGAGCTCAGCCGCCGGCCCGGATGTGTCCCGGAACCCGCGAGGCAGCGCTTAGTTTCCGCGGGGACCCCGATCGCGGACGGACCAGGAGGCCGGACTTCAATTGCCGGCGCTCCCGCAGGTGAGGGCAAAAGGGGGGGGGGTCGTGAGTAGAGGTCGGAGGTCCATCGGTGGTGGTGTGTGTGGGGGGTCACCCTTCCTCTCTGCTGCTCCCTGGGAGGGGAGGGGCCGGGTTGGACTTGCCAGCAATGCCCCCTCCAAGCTGTGGGGTCTTGTGAGCAAAAATCCTACACTGTGAGCTCCTGGCATTAAAGTTGTGAGCGGACGATGTGGCTGCTGCATACATGAGTTTGCTCTGGAGTCCTCCTTTCTGAGCTAGCCGGAGGCTAAAAACCTGTGAGCTAGCTCATACTAACTCGGCTTAGAGGGAACACTGTTGCCCAGTCCCCCCGCCGCTGGTCTGGGGGGGGAGGAATGCCCCCTTTCCTGCCTCAGGAGGGGCACTTGGGTGAGGGGGGGGGAGAACCCGCAGAGAGCACCTCCGGCACTGAGCAGGCGAACACCCCACCCCACCCCCCAGCAGGCGTGGTTGCTCGTCCCTTGACTGGCCCCTGTCCCAAGCAAGGAAGGAGGAGAGGGAAAGGGCTGGGCTGCTGAAGAAGAAGAGATTGGATTCGTACCCCATGGCCCTTCACTACCCAGAGGAGTCTCACAGCGGCTTCCAAACTCCTTTCCCTTCCCCTCCCCACAACAGACACCCTGTGAGGTCGGTGGGGCTGAGAGAGCTCTGACAGAAACTGCCCTTTTTTCAAGAACAGCTCTTGTCAGAACTACGGCTTGCCCAAGGTCATCCAGCTGGGTGCAAGTGGAGGAGTGGGGAATCAAACCCGGTTCTCCCAGATTAGGGTCCGCACACTTAACCACTACACCAAACTTCTGAGATTTCAGAGGTGCCTTCTGGAAGGAGGCGTTTATTCACTTTGGAGGAGGGTGGGAGAAATGACCCCCCCCCCAGGGGGCAAGGCTGGGGGGGTGAGGAAGATGGCAAATCTCATCCCCCCCTTCAAGGCCCCCCCCCCAGAAGTGCCCTGATGCTTCTGCTGCCCCTTTCTGTGCAGGGCTGTGGTGTTTGTCGTATTTAGCCCAAGAGTTCTTAATAACAACCATTATGAGACACACAGCAGTGTAATTAAAGCTCACAGGCAGAGAGAGAGTTTTAAGGCGGAACAATGGAAATGATGGGGGGAAACCACACATGAGGAAATAGATCCAGGTGGGTAGCCAGGTTGGTCTGAAGCAGCAGAACAAAGTTTGAGTCCAGACTGGGCACCTTTAAGAACAGTGAAGCTTCATTCTGTGTATAAGCTTTCATGTGGATGCACACTTCTTCAGATACAGTGAGTGTGAAGCAACAGGACAAAGTCTGAGTCCAGGGGCACCTCTAAGACCAACAAAGTTTAATTCTGGGTATAAGCTTTCACGGGCATGCACAGTTCTTCGGATACCTTGAATAAAACTTTGTTGGCCTTAAAGGTGCCACTGGACTTGAACACAAGGAAATGTGAGACATGAGTTGGGGCCACCGTCTTTTGCTGCCTGCAGTGGACTTCGGTAAGGTATCGCAGCCACCCAGGCCAAACGTATAAAATGGTGGTTGTGCTAATTCCTTGTCAGGTGAGGAGGACTGGTGACCCATTTGTTGGCCCTCTGTGTGAAGCAGGATGCTGGACTAGGTCCATGGGCCTGATCCCGCAGGGCTCCTCTTATGTCCATTTAACAGTTTGCATTTGTTGGTTCTGTGTGAGCCTTTGCCTACCTCTGCTTCCTGCCGCCGCCCTGCCCCCCAAGCATTTTTCTCCCAGAGGAACTCCAGGCCCAGAAATAACCCCACAGCCCTGGCAGAATAACAGGGTAAGAGAAGTAGTTTGAGGGTGGAAAGTGCTGGTAGGGGAAGGGATCCTCTTATGCTTTAAATAGGAAGGTGTGGTTACAGAAGGAGGCTGAGTGGGATGAAGCTGTGAGCCAACTATAGCCTTGGCTCAATGGTTCTATGTTTAGGATTATATTCTATTGAGACATTTCTAGGTCCCCTGTAGTTGCCCGGAATGTTCCTTAAAAAGCCCCTAGCTCACACTAGTTGTGTGTGTGTGTATAAAGTGCTGTTGAGTCGCAGCCAACTTACAGTTACCCTGTGGGGTTTTCGAGTCCAGGGATAGACAGAGGTGGTATGCCATTGCCTACCTCTACATAGCAACCCTGCACCTTCTCGGTGGTCTCCCATCCAGGCAATGTTCCCTCTAAGCTGTGGAGTCTAGTGAGCAAAAATTCTACTTTGTGAGTTACTGGCATTAAAGTTGTGAGCAAGCAATTTGGCTACTGCATAAATTAGTTTGCTCTGGAGCCATTCTTCCTGAGCTAAGACAAAAATGTGTGAGCTGGAGGCTAAAGAACTGTGAGCTAGCTCACACTAACTCAGCTTAGAGGGAACACTGCATCCAGGTAGACTTATGGTGAACCTGTAGGGGTTTCAAGGAGAGAGATGTTCAGATTAGGTTTGCCATTGCTTGCCTCTGCGTAACAACCCTGGACTTCCTTGGTGGTCTCCCAACCAAGCACTAACCAGGGCTGACCCTGCTTAACTTCCGAGATCTGGTCAGAATGGGCTATCAGGCCATTGGGGAGTTCGGGCTCCTTTGCTGTAGCCTCTCTTTATCTTTGAATCACCAGTTGCCCACAGTCCTGACAATGGGTGACACGAGTTTATGCTGGAGCACTGGTAGCCTGTACATTGTGTGCTCCCAGGAGTCTCTTCTTCAGACATTGTTATGACAACAGTGGATGCATTTATGAGGTACCTTTATTCCCCTTTTTCTGTAAATTCACCTGGACACAAGTGAAGACCAAAACAACACATTTTGTTTAACAGAAAAAACAAGGTATTGGACAGCATACAAGTGTGGAATGTTTCAGCTGAAATAAGTAAAATGACTCTCAGCTGCAGCCCAGCAGTTACAGTCTTCCCCCCCAAGGGACTGAATGCTTTGTAAATGGGACCTTCTACAGCAGGTCAACCCAAGGAGAGTCTTGCTTCCCTTCCTCAGCAAGGTTGCCTCAGGTTAGGAGGTCGACTGGACCTGGTTGCCCAAACACAGGTTCCCTCAAAGGGGTCGGCTTCTCCCCTTTCACCTCACAGCCCCCTGCCTTTCAGAAGCCACCCAGGTAGATCTGGGGCTCCTGGCTTTTGCCGGGGTGCTTATTTATCACCTAAAATCAGCTTTCTCGCCGAAGCCTACCCACTGGACCTACACAACACAACAGTCACTTGGGTGGAGGGAGTAAATTGCATGGTCAGCCTATACCTCCTCAGTCCCTCTTTGTATGATGGCCACCCACCATCTTTACAGTCTACACCAAGCCCCTGGTAGAGCAGACCATTGCAGCTCTTACAGAAAATAAAAGGAGCACTGTCTAATGGACAGTGGGTGAGAAGGTGCGTGCTGCTTCGTTGACCTTCCTTTGGAGTGTTTTCTAATGCTTTGCCTACTCTTATTTCCGTTGTCCAAGAAAAAACAGACTTATGGCTTTAAATCTTGGACCACAGACAGATGTCGCATTGCTGCCCCTCTTCCCCAACACCGAGCATGTCTTGTCCTGCTTCTGAAGCTGCCAGACTCCCCCAGGATAGACGCAGAGCTCAGGAGGAGGAAGGGTAAAAGGCGGTTGGAGGCTTATGTCTCTGGGCAGCTATGACTTCGAGGCAGTAGCTGGCCCCCTGTTACTTCAGCCTTATGCTTTACCTCCCTAGGGTCAGGTCGGTGTTCTCTCTGGAGAGGCCAATGGAGATGGGTGGCAAGTTTCTGCTCCTCAGGCCTTGGCCGATGCTCCAAGCTGTGGAGTCCTGTGAGTGAAAATTCTACTTTGTGAGCTCCTGGCATTGAAGTTGTGAGTGAGCGATTTGGCTCCTGCATCAATTAGTTTGCTCTGGGGCCCTCCTTCCTGACCTAAGACAAAAATCTGTGAGCTGGAGGCTAAAAAACTGTGAGCCGGCTCACACTAACTCAGCTTAGAGGGAACAATGGTTTTGGCCTTCCGCTTTGTGTTCCTGAGGATTGTGGAGCAAGAATATGGAGTCGATTATTAAGTGCTCACACAGTGATGTTCCTGAAGGAGCCCTGCATCCGTACTTTGGCCTTGCCTGGTGGCTCCGCTTGCTTCATCACTGATCCTAGTGCTGGAATGATGTGAGGTCCGCCTTTGCTTTGCCTGCTCTTTAGAAATGTCACTTCTCTTAGGGAGCATGTGGGAGCGAGTGAGACAGGATCAGCTTTAGGTTTGCATTCTCCTGGCTTCTGCAGCGCGTTGCGTGAGGTTCTGTTGGGCATGCTCTAGAGAGTTATGGCACTGGTTTCAAGTCTTTGTTGTGGGGGTGAATCATTATTATTATTATTAATAATTTCATTTATACCACGCCTTTCTCCCCAACAGGGACCCAAAGTGGCTTGCATCATTCTCCTCTCTTCCGTTTTATCCTCACAGCAACCCTGTGAGGTAGGCTAGGTACAGCACTCTACACTGGCAAATTATGCAACAGTTTTACAGATCCTTTCGCATGTCAGCCATGGGTCCCCACCAGTGCTCCCTCTAAGCTGTGGAGTCTTGTGAGCAAAAATTCTACTTTGTGAGCTACTGGCAATAAAGTTGTGAGGGAGCGATTTGGCTCCTGCATCAATTAGTTGGCTCTGGAGCCTTCAATCCTGAGCTGAGACAAAAACGGGTGAGCTGGAGGCTAAAAAAATTGTGAGCTAGCTCACACCAACTCAGCTTAGGGGGAACACTGGTCATGCCACCCAGTCACATCTTAGTCCAGAAACATATAGCCACATTCACATCCAGTAAATCATGCACTTCCAATCCACTTTCAGTGTTCTTTGCAACTGGATTTTACTGTGTGAATGGCAAAATCCACTTGCAAACAGTCGCTGAAGTGGATTGAAACCATATTATTTAGCGTATGTGAAAGCGACAGTATGTGAGTGCATGTGCACCTCATCCAACACAGCCCAGTTGCTGAGTTCAAGGACTTTTTATTTGCACCCGTTCCAGCCCTGGACTGGCTCCTCGCATCTCAGCCTCCCCGGGTGCATCCAGGGATTCAGTGCTGGCATGAAAATGTGCTGATGTGGTGGGTGCCGGAGAGGTTGATGTAGCCCTGTGGAAAGAGCTGGAATCGCCTGGACCACATACCTGCAAACAGAATGTGGTGACACATCGCAGCAGAAATGCATAATTCCACGCGTCCCTTGATAGAGCCGTGCATCTGGCCATCTGCTCTCTAAGCTTCCAGTCCCCCCACAAGGCTCCAGCTTAATGTTGTTCTTGAGCACTTTATGCCGACAGATACTAGCCCACCAAAAGTTAACATTTTATATCTCTCGTATAATTTTGAAACAGTTGGACTTAGCAGCATGACAGGGACCATTATTCCAAGCCCAGAGCGGTAGTGCTTATCTGGCTGAATGCAGCTGCAGAAACCCAGCGTACGCGTCAATGATAACAGTGAGAAATTGGCTAAATTAAAGAAATTGAGCCTCAGGTTTATATAGTAATGTGCCACCAGCCCCATAAAGTGGATTAGACTCCCCTGCGTCCCCGTGGCACGTGTCAAAAGGGAATTAGGCACCCTTTTGCAAGCGGAACGGCTAAAGAGTGCCAAAAAGTAACCTGTGCCAAACAGACTTGCGTGTGTGTGCCCTTGGTGTGTATGAATCGGAACAGAAGGTGTCGTGTAAATCCTTGGAGGATCCAATTCCAGGGTAACAACAGGCACCTCATTGGAATGTTTGTCCCATTATGGCATGGCTCCCTGCATATGGAAGATGCTCACACTCCCAATTAGCACCCCTCTTGACGGCTCTCACACATACCTTAACCAGCAAGAATCTGGCAGGGGAGAGGGGGGGGCGTTCAAAGTCAGGAGAAGGTGAGCTTGGCTTGTAGGGTTATAACAGATGAAAGGAAGTGCTTCTTCACCCAAAGAGTAATTAACACATGGAATTCACTGGTGCAGGAAGTGGTGGCAGCTACAAGCACAGACAGCTTCAAGACGAGACTGAATAAACATATGGAGCAGAGGTCCATCAGTGGCTATTAGCCACAAGGTATAGATGGAACACCCTGTCTGGGACAGTGATACTCTGTCTTCTTGGTGCCTGGGGGGGCAACAGTGGGAGGGCTTCTGGAGTCCTGGCCCTGCTGGTGGACCTCCTGATGGCACCTGGTATTTTTGGCCACTGTGTGACACAGAGTGTTTGGACAGCTGGGCATTGGCCTGATCCAACATGGCTTCTCTTATTTTCTTATGTCTGGGGTGGTGATGCTCTGTCTTCTCGGTGCTTGGAGGGGCAACAGTGGGAGGGTTTCTGGAATTCTCGCCCCGCTGGTGGACCTCCTGATGGCACCTGGGTTTTGGCCACTGTGTGACACAGAGTGTTGGACTGGCTGGACCATTTGCCTGATCCAACATGGCTTTTCTTCTGTCTCCCCCCCTCCCCCTTTTAAGTCGGCTTCTAGAGAGGAAAGGGTGAAAAGGGGCAAGCTGCCGCCATCCAATGTGTTCTTCCTTCTCTGTTGGTGCAGGACACGTTTGGTTGAAAACCCACAGAGTATCTTCTTTGAGCCAAGTTGAAAAAGCAGGTGTCGTTGATGTGGGCAAATTTCTGGGTTTTAGCTTAGATATGAGAGAGAGAAGGGAAGGAGCTTGGTGTGTGCGCCTGTGCACACCTTTATGACAGGACTGGACTTTGCCGTAAAGCCGCACCTTGTTCCGTGATGCAGAGACTCTCAAAAGGCTTTGCGTTTTAAGCCGAGCTTTAATTGCAAGATGGTTATAAACGGCTCTATAAATCCCTTCAGCTCCCTGTGAGCACACCCCGCCCCGGCCAGCCTTTCACCTTTCCTCCACTCAGGCTCTGTTTAGGCTTTGAGCTTATAATATCCTGTGGCTTTGTCTCCCCCCCCCCCCAATGAATCCCCTGGAAGCTGGGAAGCGCTGCAAGCCTTCCCCTTCGGCTTTCTGTTCTGTGCCAGTGCTCTCTGCTGGATTATTTCGCTTCTTCTGCTTTTATTTCTGTGGAAAGGGTGAGCCCTGCTTGTCTCCTGTACATCCCTTCACATCAGTTTCAATGCCTTTGAGGCTTACCATAAAGACATAAGAAGAGCACTGCAGCCTCAGGCCAAGGGCCCATCTGGCCTGGCATAGCGGGCAGCTACGAGAGTAGAAAGCCACCCAGCAGAGGGCGAGGGCAATAGTCCTTCCCCGCTGTTACTCTCCTGCAGCTGAGGTTAAAAGGTACGCTGCCTCTGAACATGGAGGTTTCATTTGGCCATGGTCTACATATCCCCCATGCATATGTCGAATCCCTTCTCTGAGCCTGCTAAGTCACTGGCTGTTTCCGTGTTTTGTAGCAAGCAAACTCCACATGTTTAAATAAAGGCTTAACTTTTTTAAAAAAGGTTTAAATAAATACTTAGGTGCTGTGGGACGAAGCGGTGTGAGTGTGACACGGCAAGGTTTTGTGGTTCTCGGGCGTGTTCCGTACCAAACCTGTCTGTAGCCCAGGCAAGGTAATGTCTTCATTGGGCCAGTGAACGCTGAACGTGGAGTGTGCTTCCTGGCCAGTTTGGGGGAGGAGCCCTGAGCCACTGAGCCAGCCAGTGATGCCGCCACGACTGCACCGTTCTCACGAACCGGGCCTGAGGTGACGTGGTTCTGCAGCGTGCGTGTTGCTCTTCGTTTGCCAGGACGGAGGCTTGTGAGGCTGTCTTGAAGACTGACCCCTTCTCCTTCTGACATCAGAAGAGCCCTGCTGGGTCAGACTCAAGGTTCCTCTACTCCAGCCTCCTGTTTCTAACAGTGGCCAGCCAAATGCCACGGGAAGCGGAACACTGGGCAACGGCCCTCGCCTGCTCCCCCTGCGCCTGGCATCTGACCCTCGGAGGCCTTCTGCCTCTGGACCCATTCAGCCATCGCGGCTAATAGCCAAACCCATCCTCTCTAAATTCCTCCCACTCCTTTGGGTGGTGTCTGCCACCACATCTTGTGGCAGTTTGTTGTCGTGGTTAAGTGTGCGGACGCTAATCTGGGAGAACCGGGTTTGATTCCCTACTCCTCCACTTGCACCTGCTGGTGTGACCTTGGGTCAGTCACAAGCTCTGGCACAGCTGTCCTTGAAAAAGAGCAGTTTCTGTCAGAGCTCTCTCAGCCCCACCTACCTCACAGGGTGTCTGTTGTGGGGAGGGGAAGGGAAAGGAGTTTGTAAGCCGCTCTGAGACTCGGAGTGAAGGGCGGTGGGTATAAATCCAGTCTCTTCTGCTTCAGTCAGTTCCCCATGTCGATTTGCCCACTGTAGGAAGCGATACTTCCTTTCATTTGCACTGACTCCTTTGCCTGTCAGCTTCACAGGGTGACCCTGAGTTCTACTATTGTGGGAGAAAAATTCCTCTCTGTCCGTTTCTTCATGACCTGCATAATTTTATTGACCTCTGTCAAGTCACCCCCTACTTGGGCATCATGTGGACTATCCCTCTGGTTATAATCTAGGAATATTCACACAGGATTCTTTGATTTCTTCCTCTAGTACTGCATCTGGCCCAGAGTCTCGGCGGAAAAATGTTACCCTCGTTGAAACTGTCAAGCAGGAGCTGCTCAATCCAGTTTCTTGCTTGCCGCCTTTCCCTTTGGGAAAGACACTCCTCCAGGCTCAGGAATACATTCTGCGTCCACAAAGGCCTACATACCAGCAGGATAGTTTATTATGGGCGAGTTGCCCCGGTCTTCACCAGAGCCTTGGCCTTTGGGGAGAAAGTTGCCATCGTTGACCAGAGTGGCGAGCACACCTACAAGGACCTGTACTCTCAAAGCTTCCTCTTGTCCCAGAAACTCTGCGGGATTTTGGGGTGCTCCAGCGGAGACCTGAACGGTGAGCGGATTTCATTTCTGTGTCCCAACGATGCTTCCTATGTAACCGCCCAGTGGGCTGCATGGATGAGTGGGGGCGTAGCCGTCCCCCTCTACAGGAAGCACCCCGCTTCAGAGCTGGAGTATTTCATCAAGGACTCTCGGAGCGCTCTCCTGGTGGCGGAGGAAAGCTACGTGGCGAAGATGGCACCCACTGCAGAGCGGCTCGGAGTGCCCGTGGTGCCCCTTCCGCGCTCTGGGAAGTGTTCACCGACTGACGAGTCCTCTTGGGAAGCCAGGTGTCCCATTTCGGAGTGGAAAGGCAGGGGAGCGATGATCATTTACACGAGCGGCACCACTGGAAGGCCCAAAGGAGTCCTCAGCACCCACCAGAACGTCCAGGCTGTGGTGAGTTCGTGGTTCACCTGCTGAATCAGGCCTCAGACGGGTGCCTGTTTTGGATGGGCAGCAGAGGAAGAAGGGGAGGAGCAGGAGCTTAGAACTCAAGAGGAAATTGGAGTAACATCTGGAACTGAGGTCTGTCAGTGGCTCTTAGCCACAAAGTATAGATAGGAACTCTCAGTCTGGGGCAAGGGATGCTCTGTATTCCTGGTGCTTCAGGGAAGGGGGAACAGTGAGAGAGCTTCTAGTGTCCTGGCCCCACTGCTGGCCCTCCTGATGGCCCCTGGTGTTTTTGGCCACTTTGTGACAGAGTGTTGGACTAGATGGGCCACTGGCCTGATCCAACACTGGCTTCTCTTATGTTCTTATGTTTGGGGCAAGTGATGCTCTGTATTCTTGGTGCTTGGGGGGGGGGAGCAACAGTGGGAGGGCTTCTGGTGTCCTGGCCCCACTGCTGGCCCTCCTGATGGCCCCTGGTGTTTTTGGCCACTTTGTGACAGAGTGTTGGACTAGATGGGCCACTGGCCTGATCCAACACTGGCTTCTCTTATGTTCTTATGTTTGGGGCAAGTGATGCTCTGTATTCTTGGTGCTTGGGGGGGGGGAGCAACAGTGGGAGGGCTTCTGGTGTCCTGGCCCCACTGCTGGCCCTCCTGATGGCCCCTGGTGTTTTTGGCCACTTTGTGACAGAGTGTTGGACTAGATGGGCCACTGGCCTGATCCAACACTGGCTTCTCTTATGTTCTTATGTTTGGGGCAAGTGATGCTCTGTATTCTTGGTGCTTGGGGGGGGGGAGCAACAGTGGGAGGGCTTCTGGTGTCCTGGCCCCACTGCTGGCCCTCCTGATGGCCCCTGGTGTTTTTGGCCACTTTGTGACAGAGTGTTGGACTAGATGGGCCACTGGCCTGATCCAACACTGGCTTCTCTTATGTTCTTATGTTTGGGGCAAGTGATGCTCTGTATTCTTGGTGCTTGGGGGGGGGGAGCAACAGTGGGAGGGCTTCTGGTGTCCTGGCCCCACTGCTGGACCTCCTGATGGCACCTGGTGTTTTTGGTCACTGTGTGGCAGAATGTTGGACTGGATGGGCCATTGGCCTGATCCATCATTGGCTTCTCTGGTGTTCTTATGTAGAGTAGTTCTGTCCCCTCACTCTTGGGGATAGCCAACACCCACCCATTTAGGTTACCCAAGCAGGCCTCTGCCCCCGGCACCTCTCTTTTCACACTGCTCCTGCTGGGTCCTTTTTTTCTGGAGGGCAGAGGCAACCATTGCAGCCCTTCTCCAGTTGTGTTGCGATGAGATGTCTTCTTAAAAGGCATCCTGAAAAGTCTGTTCTGCTTTTTATCTGCCTATCCCCAAGGCGGAAAAAACCCATTAGCTCCCTGAGCCAAAAAGGATTAGAAGTCTGGAGTCTGCTGGCTGCCACTGCCGCTCAGGATCTGTGCCGGCAACAGATCAAACCGCACCCTTCGGGATGCAGAAAGCCCAGGCGGCCTGACTGCAGCTGATCAGAGAGCGCCCCTTTCACCATTCATCACGCACAAAGTGAACATTTCCGTCATTTGTGAATCCCGATAAAGAAACGGGGCTCGCTTTCTTCTCCATCGGCTGCAGTCACTGCATTCTAACAGCAGAAAGGGTCGGCCACGTAAATTGTGTGACATGGCTGCTTTTCTTGTGGCTCTTGGGAAGCTGCTCCCTTGGCCGGGTCTTGACGGAGGGGCGATACTTTTCAGACCAGCGCTCAAAACGCCCAAGGAGCTAATCCAGATGCAGGCTCTGCTCAAGGCTAAAGTGGAGGCATTCGGAGTGGGGCTAGTAGGACCCTGGCAGAAGGGTGTCCTGCAGGCACAGGGAGGGTGGAGGGGGAGAGGTCAGCTAAGGCTTGAAGGACAGAGGCAGGATCTGAAATAAGGCAGGAATGAGGTGCGGGAGGAGTTAGGAGCCACTCCTCTATTCGGAAAGGGGACAGAAAGTTTAACTTGCAAAACATGGGTTTGAACATTCGTCCTCCTCGTCATGCGAGGGAGGGTAGCAAGGATGTCTGTGATCAGAGCTGTGCAGCAGACCCTCCAGAAATTCTGCAAGTTCTTTCCCAGTTCCCCATACATGGCTCTGTGTGTGTGTATCCAAATAAGCAGGTATCCAAATAAGCCAGGTGGCTAAGGTTTTTTTGGGGGGGCAGAATGTCATCTAGGCCTCTGTGTAGCCCTGGCTGTCATGGGAGTGGGGTGACTCTGGAATGTTAAGTTTCTATTCTGCTGTGTCTTCTGTGTTTCTGTTATCTCTCCTTGACCCTCAGTGCCTGGTGTAGTGTTTCTCCTGGGAACCAATGCCCGTTATTTCGGCGGGCTTCTACCTGTCCCCTGATTGGCCCTGGTCCATCAGGAGCCTCCTTGAATGATGTATAACTGCTTGCTTCGCGCGCTCTTATTCAGTTCTAACACAAAATGGTTAAGATATCTGCATACTATCAACTGTCTCAATAAACTTTACTTCTTTGGATGAAAGCTGTTGGGAACTGATTGCTGCAGGAGTCTGACAGTGTGTGTGTGAGAGAAAGAGAGAGAGGGACAGAGACACAGAGGGGGGGGGGGGGGGGGGGGGGGTGAGTGGTGGTGGAAGGAAGCAAGGTGGTGGGGAAAGATGGGCCATGCCAGCCAGTGGGGGAGGTGGAGGTGGAGGGAAGAGTTCTTTGGGTGCTGTAGTAATAGGACTAACTTTCCAGTGCTACTAATTTCTAACTGTTTTCTCCTCCTGCTGGCTTATGGAACATCACTGGCACCAGCTGTAATCTGAAGTCCTGTATGCACCCCCCCAAAAAAAACCCATCTCAAAACAAATAGAGGCTGTACAGCAGCGCTCTGTGTGTGTTTGATCCTCCGTACCACCTTTTCCTTTTCTTCCCCATGTCCTTCCAGATAACCGGGCTGGTTGATAAATGGCAGTGGACCAAGGATGACGTGATCCTCCACGTGCTCCCTCTGCACCACGTCCACGGGGTGGTCAACAAGCTGCTGTGCCCACTCTGGGTTGGCGCCACCTGCATCATGCTCCCCGAATTCAGTGCGCAGATGGTAAGCTTGCCGGGATTGCGGGCTGCTGCTTGTCTTCGCGATGCGGTGGCGCTGGGGATTTTTTTTTTTTAAGCAGAGCCAATGATGGAAGGGAGAGGTCCTCCGGCCAGTCTTGTGAGCCTGTTCACCTTGGGTGCGGAGAATTTTCTCCAGGTGAGCAAGCAGGCAAGCCTTTGTAATTTTTGTAAGTGACCTTTTTCTTCTTCCAAAGTGTCAGTGTGCTTTAAGATCTGAATCCAGTCGCAAGTTGGAAACCAGTGTGATTTTGGGAGTACGAGCTTCCAAGAGTCAAAGCTCCCTTCATCGGTGTGCTTTAAGTGGCTGAGAAAAGTAAACTGTGTGCATGCTAGCTAGGAAAAAGCCCCATGGGCTAGTAGCTGTCGTGGAGTCATCTGTTTCTATTTATACCTTCCTTCCATTTTTAGGAGAGAAACTCAGGGAATAAATACAAACGAGACTCACAGATTGGTGGCAGCAGGCCAGGGGTGGGTGGGCTGGGCATGTGTTTCTTCTATGAACTAGTTGGCCCCTGTCATCACCTGAGGCAGGTGGAGGTGGATGTCCCAGGCAGGCCGGTGAGGGGAGCTGCATTCTCCTACCCCTCCTCCTTATTTGCAGAGCTGCCTGACTGTCCCGGATGTTCAGAGCAGGACTGCAGACTTTGGCTACCCAAAGACACCTCGCCAGTCTCTTGGGGGATGCTGAGATGCAACGCAGCTGGCCATTGCTACAGTTGGCTCCAAGTCCATGACTTTCCAGCGCCAAGGAAATGGGAAGCAGAAATGTCCAGCATTGCCCTGCATTTTCCTCCACATTCAACGCAGCTGGCCATTGCTACAGCTGGCTCCAAGTCCATGACTTTCCAGCGCCAAGGAAATGGGAAGCAGAAATGTCCAGCATTGCCCTGCATTTTCCTCCACATTCTAGGAACGAGCAACCAATCGGCAAAAGGCTCACCACCCATGCCTTGCCAGGTCTTTTTTGGGTACCTTTCAGCTTTCTAAGTAAGAGTCTCTCTGCCTTCCGATGGCTCTTGTTGCTCTCATTTGGCTGTGCTGCGTGCTGAGGGCCTAGGGGCCTTGAAGTTCCTGCTACCCCTGGTGAGACTGGCCGGCTGCTCTTGCCATTTTGCAGTCCTGTGTCACTCTCTGGCTTGAGGGTGCTCTGCACAGGTCAGTCTATCCCCCTCTAGTGAGCTGAGGAGCTTGAGTTGGTTGGTGCTTTTGTTTCCTTCTCTCTGTCCGGGAGTACAGACATGACAGTAATCCCTCCTAAGCAGGAGTTTGAATGGGAGGAACCAACAGAGGAGCAGGCAGTGCCACTGCTTCTGGCCAGTCTTTGTCTGGATTTGTTCCCCCCACACTTTGGAGAGATTTGCCGGGCTTCAAGATGGGCTCCTTCTAGCCGTTTTGGTGCCCTGTGGTAATGGGGTGACGAAGGAACTCTCACCGTGCTTGGCCTCTCCTACACCCCCCCAAGTGGTGTCCGTGTTTCCACCCGTCCCTGCGACAGCATGGATTCTGTGCCAGATGCTGAGATCATGGCTTTGGGAGAGGAGGCAGCTTTGATGTGTGCTGCCTGTCCCCGGAGATGGTGCCACAGAGGAGCAGATGAAAAGCGTGGCAGCGGCCCTCTCATCAGCGCTTGTGACGCTAGAAGGTGGGGAAGGAGATGAAGAGTCTCGAGCATTTGGCAATGCATTTGCACCCAGGAGCCATCACGAGCCTCGATATTGAGGCCCGGGGGGAACAGCGTCTCCAGGAATGGCAAAAACTCTGTATCTATTATCGACGTTCTCAGCCAAAGCAGCTGCTACCGGGTGGCAGAAGAGAAGAAGACCCCTCTCTTAAGATTGTAGCCATGACACTTACTCCCTGTTTCTCCACATTTTGCAGGACTGCATGAACTCCTGGTCTGCCAATCTGGAATCTGAGAGGGGGGGAGGGAGAGAGAGAGAGAGAGAGAGAGAGGCCATCGAGGCACGGCCGACGTATGGCAACCCAGTAGGGTTTTCCAGGCAAGAGATGTTCTGAGGTGGTTTACCAAGGCCCGTCCCTGCGTAGTGACCCCGGACTTCCTTGGTGGTCTCCCATCCAGGTACTAACCAGGGCCGCCCTGCTTAACTTCCAAGACCTGATGAGATCAGGCTAGCTCTCATGCCCGTGCAGAAAAGCTTGGCAGTATTCAAGCAGCTTCTGTGACATTTCCAGAGCGGATGGGTAGAGGTTTCAGAGAGCAAGTTTCCCATATCCCACCCAGCTTCTTCTTGTTCCTGTTGGCTTTATCCTGCCCTCCAGCCACATGTTGGCTTACAAAGCAGCTTATAGGAGTAAGGAGTTGGTGGTGGTGGTGGTTGTTCAGTCTCACAGTTGAGTCTGACTCTTCGCGACCCTATGGTCCGCATCATGCCAGGCCCTCCTGTCTTCCGTTGTGCTCCGAAGTTTGCTTAATTTCATGTTCGTTGCCTTGATAACACTGTCTAACCATCTCATCCTTTGCCGTCCCCTTCTTCTGTTACCTTCAGTCTTTCCCAGCATCAGGGTCTTCTCCAGTGAGCGCTCCCTTCTCATTGGGTGGCCAAAGTATTTGAGCTTCAGCATCTGGCCTTCCAGGGAACAGTCAGGGTTGACTTCTTTTAGGATTGACTGATTCGATCTCCTTGCAGTCCAATGGACTCTCAAGAGTCTTCTCCAGCACCAAAAGGAGTTGGTACAATGGATATATTCCTTGGGGAGAAGATCCTTAGCTGGCTGTTGCCTCTCTTGGTCAGCGGCAGCTGGAAACGGGAGAGAGGGGAGCTCTCGGCTGGATCTAGGCGTGGTAGAGGGCCCCTTCCTGCTTAATTAATTAATTAATTTCATTTATACCCCGCCCTCCCCGCACGCGGGCTCAGGGCGGATTACAAAACACAGAGGTGTAATACAACACCACAATTTAAAACAATTAAGGCACACAGTGCGATAAAAGTACAGTTAAAACAGTTTAAACACCGTGGACAAACTCCCAGGGATCCATCGCGACTAGTATGCTCACTCCCTATTGTACATCACATTGGGGTCTATGAGAGGGGTGCCGTGGGCCACGATGTTCGGTGGCCAGTCGGCCCAACCTGGCGGTACTGCTCTGCGATCGCCCGTTGGTGGTAGTGGCGGCGGCGGCTCCTATTCGAAAGCCTGGTGGAAGAGCTCCGTCTTACAGGCCCTGCGGAACTGTAACAGGTCCCGCAGGGCCCTGATCTCCTCCGGGAGCTCATTCCACCAGATAGGAGCCGCCACCGAAAAGAACCTGGCCCTTTTGGCAGCAAGCCTGGCCTCCTTAGGGCCCGGGGTCACTAGGCGGTGTTGTGACCCCGACCGAAGTGCTCTTTGGGGCCTGTATGGGGAAAGGCGGTCCCTCAGGTATGCCGGTCCCTGGCCATGTAGGGCTTTAAAGGTAAGCACCAGCACTTTGAAGCGAATCTGGAACACTATAGGCAGCCAGTGCAGCGCTTTCAGCGCAGGTTGGATGTGGTCCCATCTAGAGACACCCGCTACCAACCTGGCCACCGCTTTCCCTCTGAAGGCCTTACCTGTCATGGCTGGGCAGTGCCTTATTCTGAATAGGAAACATGCACCATCTCACTGATGTGGCCACCACTGGAGTTTCCTTTTGTACGGTCCCTTGTTTAAGAAGGATGTGGCAAGCTGGGCAGGATGCAGCGAAGAGATAGAAAGCAGACGGAAGGGAGGGAAGCCAAATCCTTTGAGGAATGGAATGGCAGAAGAGCCAGGCGTGTTCGCGGAGCTGAACCCAACAGGACGTTCTGCTGTCTGAGCCCCGTTTGACAGGGAATCTGCCTCCGTCTAGCACTGAGGTCAGCCTTTGCGAGCGCTGACTGCAGCCGGCATGTTCCAAAGTCTCTGGGCATACAGGCAGGTATTTGCCTGAAGGAAGAAAGGCAACCTGAAGGACCCTGGTGTGTGATTGCTTCCTGTGTCACCCCGTGAATGCCCCTTGGACACATTGAGTGCCAGTTTGGTGTCGTAGTTAAGTGCGCGGACTCTAATGTGGGAGAACCCGGTTTGATTCCCCACTCCTCCACTTGCACCAGCTGGCTGACCTTGGGCAAGCCACAGTCAGAGCTCTCTCAGCCCCGCCTACCTCACAGGGTGTCTGTCGTGGGGAGGGGAAGGGAAAGGGGTTTGTAAGCCGCTCTGAGACTACCTTGGGAATCTCTCTTCTTCTCTTTCTCCTCCTCCTTGTCACTTCCCAGGTAGATGCAAAAGAAAGAGCTGATGATGTGAGTTGCCTTTGGGTTGGGGAAGGGGAAGCCTAAGGTGGTCTTCTGACATCAGACAACATAGTAGGGTGTGACGAGTGAGGGGGGGTATCGTTTAAGGGTGTGAACCCTCGAGCAGTGCCCTCTCTCTCCTTCCGTTGTCTCCTGGGCCCAAGCGGGGCTGGCCGGGAAGTATCTCCCTGGTCTGCTCTGAGCGACACCATCTCTGCAGGGCATCTGGAGAACCTCATTTGCTCTTTGGAGTCCTTGCTTCCCACCATCGCCACCTGTTCTGTTTTTTGTGACAGCCTCCTGAGGAAGCCAGAAAGTGGTTTTATTGATGCCTCAAAGGAAGCGCGTGTGGGTCAGTCGAGCTTTTTTGTGGAGTTTAACACCAGCCACCTTTCCGCTCCGGTCCATTTTCTCCAGCTGTTTACAAAGTGCCCTTTGCTACCAAAATCAGCTCTTGGAAAAGCAGCAGAGCTTCAGCAGAGGATTTCGCCGAAGGAGCCTGAGATTTTCTTTCCGCCTTTTGTATTTCTGTTCCTCTGCACCTCGAGAGAGCAGTCAATTACAGGGTGATATAAAGAGAACCCGAACGGCAGCTCAAACGCTTGACATGCCGATCAAAACAAAGCCGAGAACTTGCCTCCAAAGCCTCCACTGCCGGAATCAGCCCTGAGTGATACTGGCACAGGTTCAGGAGAAACCGCAACAGCACGCCCAACCTTTCTAATCACTA